TGGGGCAAGTCATTATAACAAATTGACAAAACACTCCTAAACATTTTATGATAAGTCAAGGAACTAGTCTTAATACATCTCTTATGTTTACATGGGGAGTTGAAAGATCTCTTCACGTAGCTTGCATAATATTTTCATGCATAAAATATCCTTGCAACCTCACTTTGGAAAACAGCTACAGCAGATCCATTGTTTGCACCAGAAATTTTAATAATTAGGATCATGTGGGTCGTTGCATTTGGAAAGATCTCTCTCTACTTCCTTTATCCCTTGAAATACTATAATGACACTTTTTTTCTTTTTTTTTTTTTCCTCTTAGCTATTTCCCTTATGCCATGTATTAAAAGCATACTGAAAATATATGCATGCTTTATTATGGATATCTTGGCTTATAGAAAATGTTTTTAAAAAGGCATACATTTTGGCCTACCTTTAATTATAGTTTGCTCGTATATGCAATCTTACTAGTTAACATCGTGCTGCTGTGAGAGAGCAGAAACTTTGTGCCTGTTTTCAGATACTTCTGGAATTCTGTTTTTGTCATCTGCATTCTTATTGCTAAGCACGATATGTTAATTTGAATGTTCAAGACACTTAAAAATGAAATATAGGGAAGCTGCCTTCACTTCCTGATAGTACAATGAAAGAGAAGACAAAATGCCTGTTAGGTTAAAGAAAAACAGGTATGGGTATAAAAAAAAGAGGTATAAAACTTGCTGAAGAGGATGGCAAATGTTTGTGAAAGGAAGGGAATGTCCAAGGGGAATGCAACATAAATGCTTGAATCAGTTTGTTTAAAAACTTAAAATATGTGCATCTGTGGGTAAGTTTTGAGTGAAATTAAGTTTTGATTTGCTGAGAGATTATGGAGAACATGAGCAAGAAAAGGAATTAAGAACTCTTACATTCTGAAATTATTATTATTATTATTATTATTTTACCAGCAAATTGAATATAACCAGGGAGATGTCATATCAGTTGGTCTTGATATCAACAGCAAAATAAACTGCTGCTTTTTATTTCAGCTTCTCCTGCAGAGCTGACACTGTTCGGGGAAATGGCATAGATTCTCTCCTTTCTGTAATCATTAGCAGAATTATTTACAAAGTTTTGTTCTGTTTCCCCTGTGGAAACACACTATTAATGGCAGGATAGTAGGAATACCAGAGGGCAACATTTTACATTTTATTTATTTATTTTGAAATCTTTTTTTTTCTTTTTTTCAAAGAATTAACTAAAACCAGGGAGTTTGTTAAGCTTTTCGGAGCCAGCCACCTGGAACACAGTTTGTCATTCCCTGTGCCAGCACAGTGCCCCAAAGCTGCTGTCCTGCTGTGGGCCCTGCCAGGGGTTTTCTCTTTTCACTCCCTGTGCTGCCAGGGAGAGGAGCTGGACAGATCATGAGGAAGTGCTAGATTTGAGGCTGTGGAGCTCTGGGGATCAGGAATCCAAGAGTGGCTGATGGGGAGGAGCTGGAATTTGCCTACATGTAGCTGAAACTAGGAACCACCATTTATGTGGCAGGATGCTGGCTGCTGCTGGAGGTGAAAGGAAAGGGTGGCCTGTAAAATCATTAAAGGAAAATATGAAACAAGATTAGTTTCAACAGTGATTCCCCAGGACTTCACCAGTAAGTCCTCTCAGTAGCTTCCATTGAACTTGATCCAATGTTTATTCTTGTGCTCGCGCTTTGTCCTATCTCCTAAATTCTAGTCTAGCTCCAATTGCCAGGAATTTCCATTTCAGGCATTTCACCAAGTCCAGCTACGGAAAGGATGGGAAGGGCTGGAGCAAGTGACGAGGATGGGTAACCTCTCCTGTAGGAAAGAAATGCCCTGGCTGCAGATGGATACACAGCTTCCCTATTTCACACCCAGCTCCGTGGGTAGTTCCTGGAGCTGATGTCATCTTTTGAACATGCTGGCTCTCTTCCAGGCCATCCAAAGCTGCACTGAAATTGGTGTAAGCACACTCGGTTTCAAACCTCTCTGCTCTAGAGAGGTTGTGCTTGAGATAGCAGCATCTTCCATAGCCATTTAAATCATTCTTTCCCTGAAATTGTTTGTGAAAACAAAGGAATTTGGTTAGTAACATACTATTTCTGCCCCAAGGAAAAACAACAAATCAAGTCATTTTTTATTTAAAAAAGACTCCTTGCTTACAAGCTTTGTTTCCCCATCTTCCTCCTGATTTGTTCAGAGCTGCAGCAATTGTTCACAACATCCCAGTTCTCTAGGTGCTAAACAATTGTGCTCCCACTGGCATCACCCAGTGAGTCAGACAGGACAGGCTGAACAGACTTTTGCTTAGACTCATATCCTGGTAAGTAGAAGGAACTACAAAGGATATTGTCAAAGCGTACAGAATAAGGTTTTAAGACTTTTCTTAGTTAATTTTCATTCCATGGGGTAAGGGGTGGAACTTGGGAAGGACAGGAGCTTGGTGGACAATGGTATCTCATATCCATTAAGGCTGCAGCACTAGGTCACTGAATTCATTTAGAGTTGAAATGCTTGCGGATTTTTGCCTTTACTGCTTCAACCAGCAGGATATTCTAGAACCTGGGTTGCTTTATTAGGTGCCTGCTTTTATTTTCTATATTCATACTCAGCTTTATCCGCATATTCAACATTACCTTTGCATTTACATGGTCCTCTCCATGGCTGATGACAGATGGCAACCATAGCCTCTCTCTCAGCATTCCTTTTGCTGCACTAAACAAGCCGTGCTCTTTTAATTCCCTGAAACACATTATCCATTTCTTTAACCGTGCTAGTTAGTCATTTCTGAATGTGCTGGTTCAACAACTTCTCTCTGAAGAAGGGCAGCATTAGGGATCGATGAACCCGTGGATGTGAATACCTGTTTAATAATTGTTGGCTTTTTGTGTGATTGCCTGTCATTACGAATGGTGTTCACATCTGCTGAATATAGTCGTACTTTCTCATCCTCACTATTCATTTCCGAATGATGAGCCCTTACATTGACCTTATTAGCTCACTCGTTTTTAATGACAATTCTTTCCATTTTTTTTGTCTCATCAGCACACTTGCTTTTGTGCTAAAATATTAAGGGAAATCTGAAACAAGATTAGTTCCAAGAATGATTCCCCAGGAATTCACCATGAACGCCTCTCAGCCCAGTACTTTCCATTCAGCTCTACTCAAAGCTGTTTCCCTTCACGCTTGCACTTTGCCCATGTTGCAGTTCTCCTAAACTCTAGGGTACCGCTAACATTGTCAACAATTTCCATTTCAGGTATTTCACTAAAGTATACTACTTGGTATCTGTTCCTTATGTTTCCTTAGCCCAGGTATCACGTGTTAGCAAAAACCTTGCACTTTGTCTTTATCTATGCTTTTCTTCACATATTTTTTCTCAAGTAATCCAGGAAAACACAGGCCTGCTACATTCACCATAAAGGTACAACTTTTCTCCACCCTTGTCTGAAATACAGAGTACTTCTAAGAAATTGAAAGATTAGCTCTTCTTCCGTCATTTAGTACCACATTTACTATTAAACTGCACTTCTATGTGCCTCATCTTTCACTTTTCCAGCCTCTGGGATCTGAATGCATTACAGCTCTGGACTTTTACCACTTGTGGTCATTTTTGGTCGTTGTTCCCATTATTTACCTTGCCTCTGTCCACAATTCATATCAGGAAAAACAGCAACGAGCTGATAGACAATATCAGTATCATTTAGTGGAGCTCACCTTGAGCACAATGTAGAGGGACTTGTTCGTGCTTTTACCAGGCCAAACTCCCCTTGAATAATTTCGGCTTTAAAGCACTGGAGAGAGCCTCTCAAAAGCCTGTGTCTATGCTGTTACTTTCATGGCTCTGACTAAAATAACTAGGAAGTTGGGATACCTGAGTTCTGTGCTTAAACCTAGCAGGGACTGATGTGTCTGTGGCTGTACTGCCTTGTCTACCACCCCCAGTGCTCTGAGTTTGCCCTTTTGAGCACTGCTTGCTGCTGCTCAGGTTGAATGTCCCTGCCGTGGTGCACGCAGCAGCTGCAGTGCATTAAGGCGAGGGATAGCTCCTACAAGTTACTCTGGGCGGCTCCTAGGCCTCTCCCCATCCATGAAACCCAAGCGCCGCAATCCCAGTGCGTGCTCAGCCCGTTAATGCGGCTCTGGCTGCCAGGCGCTCTGCACGAAACCGGATTCTCTGCCGCGGGAGGGGGGTAGGTCCCAACATATCACCCGCAGCCACGCGGAGCTGCCAGGGGCC